TATATACATATATATGCAATCAATGCGTGGCGAAGGTCACCACCAAAATCAACACAAGTATAATATATAAAATTCGTTATATTTTTAATTCATAATATATACTACGTATTGTAAATAAAGCATATATTTTAATATATTATATATATTGAGTAGAGACAAATATATATATATATATATATATTATATTGTTTATTTTCTTTGTTTGAGCTATACTGTTGGTGTTGTATATTATATTAATACTGAAGAAAAATGCAGGAAATAATTTAATTATTAATATCATTATAATTATTATTTAGATAAATATATTTTAAATTTAAATAAAATAAACAAAAATATACGTATTTTTCCTTCGTTTGTTGATTTAAGCTGCTGGGTTCACTTCGAGAAGCTAGCTGCATACACCTTCGATATTGAGGTAGAAATATACAAATAAATGCTTAAATAGAATAAATTGAATTAGGAAATTGATTATAAATAGAATAATATAATTAAAATGATTTATTTTGATTTATTTTAATGCATTTTATCGATTTTTTCTTCAAGAACTACGCCGAAGGCCTATTAGACATCGACGGTGGGCGTACACCGCTAACCCAGCCGCTGAGGTGCCTATACACCTGAAAATTTTTTTATACTTTATGTTGTTTTGAAGAGGATAAAGAGATTTAAAATATGAAATATGTATTTATAATGATTATATTATCTATTTTTTATATTTATAGCCTTTCATAAACCCATAAATCTCTTTAATTATTCAGTCAGCTGTGCAGACACCAGAGAGATTGTCAACAGCATCCAAAGAACCGCTAATTTATTATTCTGTTTTAATATTTATTCTTTTTTATCTTTTTATCTGAGATTTGTTCTTTTCTTCTCTTCTGTCTCTGCATTTGTCTCTCCCTTAGCCTCTCTTCGAGAAGAAAGAGAGACGAGGCCCTGGGGGTCTGCACAAAAAAAAGTATTCATTTGAAGCAGCAGCAGCAGCAGCAGCAGCAGCAGCAGCAGCAGCAGCAGCAGCAGCAAGCTAATTGCTGCTGGAAAGAGAAGCTGCAGCAACCCTCAAATAAACAAACCCAAGTCGAGGAAGGAGACAGAAACAGCCAGCAAGATGATTCACCCACGTGCAGCAGCAGCAGGTGCAGCAGCAGCAGCAGCAGATGCAGCAGCAGCAACAGCCGTAGCAGCACCAGCAGCAGAAGTGGGTCCTTCAATGCAAGTGCGTGCTGATCCTTTTGCTGCTGATTATTATCTGGGTGCTGCAGCAGTCGGAGGAGTAGGAGAAGCAGCAGCAACAGCAGCAGCAGCAACAGCAGCAGCAGCAACAGCAGCACTTAGTAACAGAGAAACTAATGCATGTGTATTCTCTTTAGGTAGTGAAATCGATAGCTTTGATGCGCTCGTAGACCAGGTAGATATGCAAGCAAAGAGACGCTCAGCAGCAGCAGCATTTGGAGAGGCTCTCAGCAACAGCAGCAACAGCAGGAGCAGAACTAATAGAACTGTCAGATTCAGCAGCAGCAGCTACAGCAGCAACAACAGCAACAGCAGCAGCAGCGGCTTTGGCAGCACAAGCAGCAGCAGTAGACACCGCATATGCAGACAGCCGGGCTGCTGCTGCATGCCAGGCGCTGTCCTAGATAAACATATATTAGAGAGAGCGTTTGATTAATTTAATTAATTAATTAATTAATTAATTACTTAATTAATTACTTTCTTTGCAGTTTGCGGTGGAGTCCTCTTCTATCTTCTCGTCTAGCCGTCATCTATCTATTTAGCAAGCAAGCTAGCTAGCTAGCTAGCTAACTATCTATCTATTTAGCTAGCTAGCTATCTAGCTGGGTAGCTAGGTATATAGTTCTGAATACATACATTTGCGTTTGGGGTGTATGTGCAGCTCCTGTAGATCGCAGCAGCGTCTTAGACACAGCAGCATGGTAGATATTTTGCTTCTAATGAAGATAAAATGAGAAAATAAAATATTATACAATGTTTAAATATTATATTTAATTTTATTTTTAAATATAATATCAAAAAAATAATATTTCTACAGCTCGTTTCCATCAACCACCAGCAGCGGACCAATGGTCTGCTAGCAGCAGCAGTGTGCTGCAGATGTTTTCGCGTTTTGTTTATCATTTAAATAAATAAATATTAAAAGAAAAACCATTTAAAATCAATTACCTTTGAAATACAACACAGAAAAGGGAGAAATACTGCAGCAGAAAAACTGCAGCAGCAGCAGCAGCAGCAGCAGCAGCAGCAGCAGCAAGAGTGCAGCGTCGATGCTGCTCCTGCCGCTCACAGCTCGCTCCCTCCCTCTCTCTGTCTGTCTGTCTTCTTTTGCCTCTCTGCTCCTCATCTAATCAATTTATTTATTTTATATATCTTCTTCTTACTTTGTCTTTCTCTCTTCTCTTCTTATTTAGGGTTTGCTTCACCCGCGTTGCTGTATTGCTGCTCCTGCTGCTCCTGCTGCTCCCGCTGCTGCTGCTGCTGCTCGGTTTTCGTGCAGCATAGCATATCTTCTCTTTCTTCTCATAAATATAATATTTATATCAAATAATATATATATATATATGTATATGTATATGAAGTAAAAGATACAGCAGCAGCAGCAGCCGCAGCAACCCTAAGGCCCTTCTAGCTGGCTGTCTTTTCTTTTAGTTTATTGCGTTTTCTTCTTCTTTATATATAAACTTTAAAGACATAACTTATTAAAAAGAAGGAACTCTATTTACTCTTTTAGTTTTATTAGCAGCAGATACCCGCATGAAAGATGTCCCAATACATTTACAACAGCAGCATAAGCAGCAGCAGCAGCATAAGCAGCAGCAGCATAAGCAGCAGCACCAGCAGCAGCAGCTGGTACTCTTGCTCTTGCAGCAACAGCAACTCCTTCTGCACAACCAGCAGCTGTTGCTACAGCAGCAACAGCTTCTGCTCCAACAGCTGCTGCTGCTGTTCTTACAACAACAGTAATGCTGTTGCTGCTGCTGCTGCTGCCGGTGGTGGTGGTGTATACTGGATAGCTCCTAATAGCTATATAGAAACAGCACCTTGTGGGGCTTCTTCAGGCGTATATGCAGCTCCCCCTCTTGTACAAGCAAACAAAGAAGAAGAGAAAGAGGACAAAGATGATAGCAAAACTCTTTTAATAGATGCAGGGTTTATTTACTCGTGGAGTAGGCGAGTAGATAGCTTAGACCCCTTCCTTTTATGCATGCAAATTAGGGAGGCGGGATCGGCCTGGGATCGTCTGGGATCGTCTCCTCCCCAAGTCCCCCGGCTGCATGCAAAGCGCAAAAGACCCCACAATCCTTGCAGCAGCAGCAACAGCAGCAGCAGCAGCAAGAACAGATGCAGAAAAAGCAACAATAGAGGGCAACCCAAGATAAGCAGACGAAGGCTTAATACCTCAAACCCATCAACATCAAACCCATGCAGCAGCAGCAACAGCAGCAGCAGCAGCAATAGCAGCAATAGCAGCAGCACTCTCTCTCCGGATAGCTTCCTTTCTTCTGCTGCTGCATCTCTTCCCTATTCCTTCAATGAATAAACCCCACAACTCCTCTTCAATTCATTTACATACACCAATGGCCTCTTAACTCTCACAAACAAATTCAGTGCAACAAAAGACGGGGGCCCCTTATGAGGGGCCCCCCTTAAGGGGGGCCCCCGCTCTTTAGGAGGGGAGTCCCCTTATAGGGGCCCTCTTTTATGGGGGGAGCCCCCTAAAATTAGGGGGCCCTTCATGGGGGGCCCTCTCTGGGGTGTACCTGTTCGGGTTAAATTTAGGGGGCCCCCTTTGTGGGGCCCTCTGTTCGGGAGCCCCCCTAATAGGGGCCCCCTTTGATGGGTCCCCTTTGGGGGCCCCCCACCTGAGCCCCCCTTGGGGGCCCCTTTGAAGGGGCCCCCAAGGGGGGCCCCCATTTTTGGGGGGCCCCATTTGGGGGGCTTCCCTTTTGGGGGGCTCCCATTTTTGGGGGGCCCCATTTGGGGGGCCCCCCTTTTGAGGGGCCCCTCTTTTTGGGGGCCCCCCTTTTGGGGGGCCCCCATATGGGGTACCTGTTTGGGGGGCTACGGGGGCCCCCCTGGAGAGGTCGTAAAGAGAGGAAATGGTGTTTGGGGGCGAAGGAGGAGGGGAGGTGCTTCTTTAGAAGAGTTTTTTTTAATAAATCAATGGAGGTGTTTGTGTATAAGTATATATATAACTATATATTTATAATATACATATATAATATATATATATATATACAATATATATATATATTATATAATATATATATAATATATACGTATATATTATGTTTAATTGTATTACGTCTTTATGCATATAAACAAACACACAAATAGAAATAATTATGGGTTATAATCTATGCTTTTGATGTATATAAATTATATAAATTATATAATATATTATATATTATATATTTATATTTATTATATATAATATGTATAATATATATTTATATGTATATTTCTTTATTGATTTTGTTTGGTTCTATGATATAATATATATATATATATATATTTCTGCATATATTAATATCCATATATACATATTATATAGAGATTTTATATATGTATATTATATAAACATATATATAAAGGTATGCTACAGATGTATATAAGATAAATAATATATGAAGGTGTAATATGTATACATATACATATATATATTATAACAATAATATATAATCATCTGTCCTTTACATATATATATATATATAATAGTATATATACAAATATATAAATATATATAATATATATATATATATATATACATAGATGCATTATATATATAGGCATATACATACAATAATATATCTATCTATGTATATAGATAGATAAATGTATATATATACATATATATATATACATGTGTATGTCAATTTATTTATATATAATATATTATATTTATTATGTACATATCTACATATTATATATTATGTATTTATATACAATACACCCCATTACTTTATTAGGGGGCCCCTAAGAGGCCCTCTTTTTAATCTTATCTTTTCTTCTTTTGGGGGCCCCCTTTATTCATTATTGACGGTGCAACACGCCGCAGCATTGGGGGCCCTTCACCTACAAAGGGGCCCCTTTAGGGGCCCCTGTGGGGGGCCCCTTTGGGCGGCCCCTTTGGGGGGCCCCTGTGAGGGGCCCATGTGGGGGGCCCCTGTGGGGGGCCCCCCTATTTATATCCTCCCTTTGGGGGCCCTTGGGGGCCCCTTATACGGGTCCTTCTTTGGGGGCCCCCTGTTTAATAATATCTCCAATATGTACGCCCCTAAATAAAAGCCTTTGGGGGGCCCTTATATAATATATATATATATATATATATATATGTATAGGGGCCCCCATCTAGGGCCCCCTATTTGGGGCCCGTATATAAAGAATATATATATATATTTAAGAAGGGCCCTCAAAGAGGTCTCCTTTGGGGGGCCCCCATTGGGGGCCCCCAGCACAGATTGTTTTTGTTGTTTTTTTCTTTAAAGTGACAATGGCTCAGTAAAACGCAGAGCATTTGCTGCTGCTGCTGCTGCTGCTGCTGCTGCGGCTGCTGATGCTGCAGCAGAAAGTTGTCTCTTTATCTTATGAACAGGGGATTAAGTGTGGTGAAGTTTATTGCGTTGCCCTTTCTGCTGCTAATGCTGCTGCTGCTGCTGTTGCTGCTGTTGTTGCTGATGCCGCTAGTGGTGCTGTTACTGTTGCTGGTGAGGGTCTTCGCAGCAGCTTTTCGTGCTGCTGCTGCTTCTGCTGCTGCTGCTGGAGCGTCTATTCTGCTGGTTAGGGGGGTTCTAGCTTTTGCTGCTCTCCCGCGTCGGGTGTATAGGCACCTCTTTAAGTATTTAAGTTTCAGCAGCAATTAATTAATTAAAGACCAACACAAAAACAGCACTGCGCCGCTGCTAGCGAGCCTGGCTAAGAGACTCTTAGCTAGCTAGCCAGCTAAACAGCTAGCTAGCTACCTACACAGCTAGCTAGCTAGCTAGTTGCACACTCTTCTAGCTAGCTAGCTAGAAGGTTAGCTAACCACCTAGCTAGCTTGCCTGCTGGAGGGCTAGCTTGCTAGCTAGCTATGCAAGCTAGCTAGCTAGCTAGCTAGCTAGCCGCGGTTAGCTGCAGCACGCGGCTTTACAGTATGCGTGGCTGTGCTATATGTGGGGCTATACAAAAAGATAGTTGAGGTGTATATACACCGGAGAAGCAGCAGCAACATCAGCATTGCAAGCAAATGGAGGAAGAAACGACCCCCGAATGCTGCAGCAAAAGGGCGAACTCGCTGCTGTTGCTGCTGCTTCTGCTGCTGCTGCTGTTGCTGCTGCTGCTGCTGCTGCACTGTGGGCCTGAATATTCAAACTGTGCCATCGTCGAGGCTAATCAATCAATTGCACACAGCAGCAACGGCTGTGCTGCTGCTGCTGCCGCCGCTGCTGCTGCTGCTCCAACGGGAACTGGGCCTGCTGCTGCGGGACACATGCTGTTGCTGCTGCCGCTGCCGCTGCTGCTGCAGTTGCAGCAAGAAGCGCTTCTGCTGCACAGGCGTTGCTTCTGCAGCAAGAGCTGTTGCTGCTGCAGCTGCAGCAGCAACAAATATTCTACGGTCGCAGCATCAGGCGGAGCTGCTGCCGCTGCTGTTGTTGCAACAGCTGCAGCTGCTGCTGTAAGTGCTGCTGTTACCTGCTGATGCTGCTGCAGCAGCAACAACAGCAGCAAGACAAGCTTGCAAGAATTCAGGGGTCCCCTGAGTTAACTGAAACGTCTCCAAGTACTTCTTCCTTGCGCAGTTGCTGCTGCTGCTGCTGCTGCTGCTGCCGCTGTTGCTGCAGCTGCTGCTGCTGCTGCTGCTGGCTTGCTGCTGGGGAAAGAGAAGAAAAGACAACACACTCATACACTAATCATACAAGAAATAAACTGCTGCTGCTGCTGCTGCTGCAAGAGATGCTGTTGGCAGCCTTTGCAGTAGCTGCTGTCCTTGCGCTTGCTGCTACTGCTGCTGTTGCTGCTGTAGCTGCTCAGTTAATTTATGCCGCTGTTGCTGTCTCAACCGCTGCAGGAGCAGCAGCAGCAGCAGCGGCCGCTGCGTTACTTCTGGTGCTCGTTCTGCTGCTGCTGTAATGGCTTCTGCAGCAGCAGCAGCTCTCCGTCTTCCCTGCCGCTGCCGCTGCTGCTGCCACTGCTGCTGGATCTGCTGCGACTGCCGCTGCTGCTGCTGCTGCTGCAACTACTGCTGCTGCAGCCGTTGCGCCGGCAGCTGCTGCTGCAACTCCTGCTGCTGCAGCTGCTGCACCAGCAGCTGCTGCTGCAGGGTTGCCATTGAGAAACAAAAAGACAACACACTCATACAATCATACAAGAAACAAAGTGCTGCTGCTGCTGCTGCTGTTGCAGCAGCTAATGTTGGCAGCCTTTGCAGTAGCTGCTGTCCTTGCTCTTGCTGCTACTGCTGCTGTTGCTGCTGTTGCTGTTCAGTTAATTCCTGCTGCTGCTGCTGTCTCACCCGCTGCAGGAGCAGCAGCAGCAGCAGCTACCCATCTTCTCTGCCGCTGCCGTTGCTGCTGCCGTCGGTGGTGCTGCTGCTGCTGGTGCTGCTGCTGCTGCTGCCGTCGCCGCTGCTGCTGGTGCTGCTGTTGCTGCCGTCGCTGCCGCCGCTGCTGCTGCTGCTGCTACTGCTGATGTTGGCGCTGCTGCTGTTGGTATGTTAGTAAAGGTAAGCTGAGTATACACCGCATGCAATGCCTAGCAGCAGCAGCAAGACAGCAGCAGGCCCGACGATTTCTTTTTCTTCATATCTCTTGACAGAGTTGCAAGCACCAGTAATAGCAGTTGTAGCGCAGTATCCATTTGTTATACTCAGCAGCAGCATAAGAGCAGAATAAAGATAAAAAGAGTTAAAAAATATGTGGTTTGTATAGAACATGCAGCAAAGAAAGAAGACGACGAAGAGCAGACGCAGCAGCACGAGGATCAGCAGCAAACGTGCAGAAACATTAAATCTGCGAAGTCTCGGGTGTCTGTACACCTCAGGTAAAGTCTTGCCGATGAGATCCCCTATAGAGAAGACTCCTACTAATATAATATAACTTAACTCTTTTTCTTTATCAGAAGCATAGCTCCAGCGCATAGGCCCTACACGAGGATAAAGATGCATCGTTACAGCCAAGGTGAAGAATACACAAAATAAATAAACACCGCTTGAAGATAATATAGCTCTCCAGCCACGAGCAGGGAGTGTGCTCTCTGTTGCTGCTGCTTTTGCTGCTGCTGATGCTCCTGCTGCTGATGCTACGACTTGTTGCTCTTGTTCTGCTGTTCCTGCTCTTCCTCCTGATGCTTCTCCTGTTGCTGCTGGTGCTGCTGCTGTTGCTGCTGCTGCTGCTCCTGCTACAGTCTCTGCTGCAGTTGGCCACTCAACAGGTTGCTGCAACCGCCAGAAGCTGCTGCTGCTGCTCTTCCTGCTGCTCCTGCTGCTGCTGCTCCGAGGGGCCCCGTTGCTAATGACAACCAATTCTTGCGTTCGGGCGTCTCCTGCTGCACGCAGTGCTGTTGCTGCTTCTGCTGCAGCAGCATATCTTCCTGTCCATCGTCTTACAAACCGCTGCCAAGGGCTCTCGTGCTTCTGCTGCTGCTGCTGCTGCTGCTGCTCTGTCTTTGCTGCTCCCCCGCATGCACACCTCAACGACCACACACCGCAGCGGGTGCCGCAACAATTCTCCTCTGCTGCTGCTGCTGCTGCTGCAGCTGCTGCTGCTGCAGCAGCAGAACGCCCTCGCTTCGCCTCCCAGTACCGCTGCAAACCTTGACGAGCCCATGACTGCTGCAGCAGCAGCAGCAGCAAAAACGCTGAGATGCACGATGTACCCGCGCTCGTTCCAAAGACCAGCCTGCAGCAGCAGCAGCAGCAGCAGCAACAGCAGAAGTTAAAATATATAATTACAACTCGCTAGAAGAAGCTGTGGCTGTTCCTTAGCTGCATGCTGCTACACACCAACGTGCGAATGAAGAACTAGCAGCTAGCTAGCTCGATGGACAGACAGATAGCTAGCTAGCTAGCTAGATAGATAGATAGCTAGATATATGGATAGATTGCTAGCTAGCTAGCTAGCTGTCTAGGCAGATGGCTAGGTAGGCCGCTGGTTAGCTAGCTAGCTAAATAACTAGCTACATAGCTAGCTAGCTAGCTAGCTAGCTAAATAGCCTACCAGAACATGTTCACTGCGCCTTCATAGGTAGACAAATCGAAGAGATATCGCGAAGCGAAGAAATTTACACCAAACGCCAACACCCCACACACCCCTTGACCTGCAGCAGCAGCAGCAGCAGCAGCAGCAGCAGCAGCAGGAGGGTTGAAGGAGATCGGAGTCGGTTTGTGTGTTGAGTAAGCAAACAGCAGCAGCAGCAACAGCAAATACCAGCAACAGCAGCAGCAGCAGCAGCAGCGCTGGAAGGAACGGTAGCAGCATGAGCATCAGCATCAGCAGCAGCATCAGCAACAGCAACAGCTGCAACAGCAGCAGCAGCAGCAGCAGCAGCTCACCGATGGAGAAGGCTCCGATGAAGCCGAAGGGGATAGAAGAAGCGACAGCAATTGCTCCTCCAGAGACAACACCAGCGCATGCACCGAAGAGAAGTGCGAAGAAATGAAAGAGGATAAGAGTTGGGGTGTATAGGCAGGTAGTTAAGAGTAGCGGTAAGAGAGCAGCAAGAGATGCATCAATAAGAACAGCAGCAATAATAAGAAAGGGTCTCATAGCATCTATGCAGCAAATAAATAATAATTGCATGCATATACACCCCAATTGATATGTACCTAATGCGCTGTTTCCGCATGCACATTCAGCAAAAATATACTTCTCTATTAGAGGTAAGACATATAATAAAGAGTGCCAGCAGACTAATGAAGCAACACCGCAGAAAATAAAACAAATAAACCCTAGACATAGCTCTAAAGACGATGATGAAGATGATGAAGACTGCAAAGACAGTGCAAACGAAGACATATACTTCTCCTCTTCACCGCCACCACCATATAACCCCACACCTTCTTCTCTTCCTGCTGCTGCTGCTGCTGCTGCTGCTGTTCCTGCTGTTGCTGTTGCTGTTGCTGATGTTTCTGGTGCTGCTGCTGCTGCTGATGTAGTGGGGACTGCTGCTGCAGTGGAGGAGGAAGCAGCACACGCAGAGACGCCTCCGTGTGCTGCTGTTGTTGCAGCAGCAGCACCACCTGCTGCTGCTGCTGCTGCTGCTGCTGCTGCTGATGATGATGATGATGCCTTAATTTGAGACAAACTGCACGCGCCTTCGGTCTCCCCGCCAATGCGGCGCTTAGTTGCAGCACTTCTGCTGCTGATGCTGCTGCTGCTGTTGCTGCTGTTGCTGTTCGTAACTGCAGAGATGCAGCAAATACCCCTCCCGAGGCCCCCCAACTCCATAGAGCGGTCAACAAGCCGTTCTGCTGTGCTGGTAGCAGTATTGCTGCTGCGGCGGCAGCAGGGTAGTTGTTGCTGCTGCTGCTGTTGCTGCTGCTTTTGTTGCTGCTGCTGCTGCTGCTGCTGTTGCTGTGCTGCTGTGATGGGAGCGCCAGGCATGGGACCCTGAAGACGCCCCTGCAGCGCAGCAACAGCAGCAGCAGCAGCAGCAGCAGAACCATCCGACAGCCGAGGCTGCTCTAGGGGCCCCCTTAATAAAGGAGGCTCCACCGGCTTTGCTGCATCGACAGTAGAAGAAGTCTGAGCGATTCTTATCTCCACCATTCTCTAACTGCTGCTGCTGCTGCTGCTGCTGCTGCTGCTGTTGCAACAGCCACTCTTCATTCCTCTGCCGGCGAGGGGAGGGGAGAAGAAGGAAGGATGGTCTGTTTGCTGCTGCTGGCGAGGCGGCGCGACAGAGCAGTAGGAAAGACACGGGAGCGCAGAAAAAGAGAAACAGTAAATAAAGTACCACCAGTAAATGAATAAAAAGAAAAGAAAGAAACAAAAACATCAAATCAATCAAGCACACAGCGGCAGATACACCCCAAAGACGTTCAACAAACGACGGCGTAGGTTGTTGCTGCTGCGGGGGCCCGGCACCGTAGCAGCGCCGCAAACGTAAAAGAGTGTGTAATATCAGTAAATATATTAAATAAAAGAAAATACCATTAAATTAGCAGAAATATTCATAATTAATGCATTAATTTAACCCATATTGTGCTGAGAATAAGAGAAAAAGACTTCTTCTAGGGGCCCCCTTACTTCCTTCCTCTTAGATGCGATACGTATGACTACCTAGAGCTGCTGCTGCTGCTGCTGCTGTAGAGTTTGCAGAAACAGCATATATATTTCTTTCTAATAATTACTCGCATTATTTAATTTCTTTTGAAGTAAATAACAAACGAATTTATTATTAACATGCATACGTCCAGCATGCATACAACTCGGGCCCCATTTAATATCATCGGCATACTTATTCTAAACATCTACACACCAGAAAGAATCTGTATTATACAAAACGAGGGCAAAAAGGTTAATATTTGATTTCAATAAGCAAATAGAAGCTTTTTATACTTAAAACAATTCCTATATCAACGTATTTTAATATTATTAATATGTACATTAATCAGTGAAGGTGCCGAGTATCGAACCCGGGGCGCGCGGCTAAGATGTGCACATGTTAAGCAATCGGCCTATTTGGTTGACCCGTCGATGGTTGTTCAATTGAGTGAATATATTGGGTTGTTTTTTTGCATATTTACATTGAAATAAACAGAAATACAATTGAAAAAAGAAATAATATTATATTTATTTCTTCTCGTTGAGGAGATGATAATGAAGGTGTCGATGTGTGCTGTACAGCTACCTCTACCTCTCTCCTCTTCTTTCTTTCTGAGGTGCATATTATGGTCGATATTTCTGAGTTGTTTTCATTCATAACAGAAATAGGAGGTGCTACTTTCAATTTTGCTGCTGTTTCTGCTGCCGTTGCTGCTGCTCTTGTTGTTGCTGCTGTTGGTGAGTCCTTAGCACGCACGAACGGTCTGCTGGTGCAGCAGGAGCAGGAGCAGCAACAGCAACAGCTGGCGTGCAGCCTAGTCGTGCATTTCTTTTAGTGTGCGTATTTTTTCTTTCTTCTTTTATTTTTATGTTTAAATGCCCTCAGCAATAACAAAAGTTTATGCTGAGGCGCAATAGAAGGTTGCGGCTACTCAGAGATTTTCAGAAATCTCAGTGTCTGAGCACGTTCCCGTGGGGATCATTTATTTTGCGGCTGTCTCTTCCAGGACTGTTTTTTCTGGGATCGTCTCCTCCGGGATCGCTTTTTTCTATTATAATATACTTTAGATTGTCTTCTTTTTTCTTTTAACAATGCACTTTAAGAGGTGCAGCCGAGTTAAAGAGCCCCCAGACTCAAAAGGCCGCTCTGCACGAATCCTGAGAGCGGCATTACTCCTCCTCTTCTTTGCTGCTCCGGTATATCCTGCAACAGCAGCAACAGCTGCTGCTCAACCATCAACATCAGCACCATTAGCATCATCAACATTACCAGCATCAACAACAGCAACAGAAGGAAAGATGCAGCATACAGCTCATGCTTCTCCCGCAGGTTTCCGGCAAGAGCAGCAGATTTTTTATGAAGGGGCCTCACACACAGACAATGCTACAGAGACATTTCCTTTGAGTGAAGATCCTCTTGATAAAGAGGGAGCCTATATGAAAACAGCTCTTCCTCTTTCTTTTAATACTCCGGCACAGCTTCGCCGCTCAGTTTTATTGTCTTTATTTGCTGTTTCTTCCCTTGTTTTTCTTCTTTTAATGTGCGGCTTCCGAATTAAACATTCTCGGGTGTCTAGGCACCTCCGCAGACTCGCAGCCCCGGGGGACCCTGAACAGCCCTGGGATAAATGCGAGGAAGATGAACCCCCTCCAGATGCAGCAGCAGCAGCAGCAGCAGCAGCAGCAGCAGATTCAGCGCCAGAGGCAGATGGCAATGCAGAGCCTGAAGCAGGATCAGCAGCAGGAAAAGAAAGCGCAGCAGGCGAAGCTAAAGCAAAGACTGAAAAAGCACCTGCACCAGAAGCAACATCAGCAGGAGAACCGTCAACAGAAGAAACATCATCATCAATACCAGCAGCAGCTCCAGCAGCAGCAGAGGAAGCAGCAGCAGCAGAGGGAGCAGCAGCAGCAGCTCCAGCAGCAGCAGAGGGAGCAGCAGCAGGAGCAGAAGGAGGAGCCGAAAAGTCATTAGAAGCAGCAGCAGAAGCAGCACAGCAAAGAGCAAATTATCTGTTTGAAGAGATATTTGATTTGTGGGAGCTAGGAAAAAAGATAACACAGAGTCTACGGGGGCCGGACCGTGCTGCTCTTACAGAGCTGCTGCTGAAGCTTGCTGCAGTTGAACTGACAGTAGCAGGTGCAGCAGCAACAGCATCACCGCTAGACGTAGCAATTGCAATAAGAACAAAAATCCAGGCGATAGCTGGGGTGCTTCTACAGCAGGGGGGTATGGAGCTGATGCTGGCCAACAGCAGCAGCAGCAGCAGCAGAAGCAGAAGCAGCAAGGCTGAAAGCCCCGGCGAAAGCATTGGCAATGAGGTGCTGCTGTATATCGGCGGCCTGACTGGTACACCGATCTCTCCAAGGAGCACAATAGCAGCAGCTGCTGCTGCGGCTGCAAATGCTGCTGCTGCGGCTGCAAATGCTGCTGCTGCGGCTGCAAATGCTGCTGCTGCAGCTTCAGCAGGACAGCGCTACGAAGATGCTTATACAGAAACACAAGCAAAAGAAGATGCTGATGCTTCTCCTTTTGATCAATATCAGCAGCAATCGGAGCTGCTAGAGAAGCAGGAGGAAGTGGTGCTGCAGCCAGGGATCCTGGGGCAGCCACCGCCAGTGCCGCTGATGCTGCCGCAAGCCTTGCTGCTGCCGCCTGAAGCGAAGCCCTTCTTGCTGCAGCATCAGCCGTTTGCAGGGCTTAGGCCGGGTGTTAGCTGGACTCCAGTATCGAATTTATCAATTTTGGGATCCCCTCACGAAGCAGCAGCAGCAGCAGCAAAGGGGGGCAGTGCGATGACATCGATGCTGGAGTGGCCCGAGAAAGAATCAAAACAAAAAAGGAATGACAGCAGCAGCAGCAGCAGCAGCAGCAGCAGCAGCAGCAGCAGCGGCAGCAGCAGCAGCAGTAGCAGCACGACCAGCATGGAAGTCTATGGGACAATGTTTGATTCTGCAACTGTCGGTAGAATGTGCATTTCAGAAGCAAAATGGAGTCTGGAGGAGCTTGCTCTGTCTATACCCCCGGCTTCTTCTCCTTCTTCTGTATTTTCACTTCATTTTCCTCGTTCTTCTTCTTCTTCTTCTTCTTCTTCTTCTTCTTCTTCTTCTTCTTCTTCTTTTACTCTTCCTAGTTTTCCTCCTCAAGCAGATGTAGATCTGTGCCGTCGTATAATAGGCGGATTGCTCGATGTGCGCCTAGAGCAGGTGATGCAGCAGGATTTGCTTGCTGCTAGTGTTCGGCATGTTGAAGCAATATCAGGCTGTGATCTGTTTAGCTCTTCTGTTGACATCCGCCTACCTTGTAAAGCAAAGACTTTCCCCGTGCATGAGCAGGTGAAAGATATCCTTGGCGTACGCCCCACGATAAAGGACCGCCACATGAAAGACCAGCAGCAGCACCTGCAGCAGCAGCAGCAGAAGCTTTTGGAGTTGCTGGAGCGGTATGAAAAGGGCCTCCTCACTGATGCAGAGGAGAGAGAAGCAGCAGCACTATCAGATGCTGCTGCTGCAGCATCTTCTGCTGTTGCTGCTGTTCTTTCTTCAGAAAGCGGCAGTACAGCAGCAGAAGAAGTAGATGATGATTTTGAAGATGATTCTGTCTTTTACCCACCATCTCCAACTGATACGTTTTCTTCTAGCTCTTCACCCCTTTATATGTCTTATAGCTTCCCTTCTTCTTCTTCTCCTCCTCCTCCTTCTGCTCCTCACGCGTCGTCTTCTTCTTCTTCGTCTTTTCCTTCTTTTTCTCTCGACGCTTCTTCTTCTTCTTCTTCTTCTTCTCCCCCTTCTTCTTTTCCTTTTCCGTCTTTCTCTCTTCCTTCTTTTACTTTTCCCTCTTTCTCTCTCTTTTCTCCTTCTTCTTCTTCTTCTCCTTCTTTCCCGTCTTTTTCTATCCCTTCATCTTCTTCTTCTTCTTCTTCTTCTGCTTATTTTGCTCCTCCTCCTGCTCCTCCTCCTTCGACTTCTTCATCTTTTGTTGCTCCTTCTTCTTCTTCTTCATCTTCTTTTCCGTCTTTCTCTCTCCATTCTTCTTCTTCTTCTTTTCCGTCTTTTTCTCTCCGCCCTTCTTCTTCTTCTACTTCTTCTTTTTCTCCTCCTCCTCCTCCTCCTCCTTCTACTTTTCCCTCTTCTTCTTCTTCATCTTCTTTTCCGTCTTTCTCTCTCCATTCTTCTTCTTCCTCGTTTCCGTCTTTCTCTCGCCATTCTCCTTCTTTCGCTCTCTCTTCTTCTTCCTCTTCCTCTGTTTCTCCTTCTTATTATTATGATTCTTCTTCTTCTACTTCTTCTACTTCTTCAGCAAGAGATGCAGATGTAGAAGATAATGATGCTAATTTTGAGGATGACTACGATTATAATATTGATGATGATGTGTTTTTTCCTGAGACAACTGTACTTCCTTCTGTATCTACATCCTATAGTGCACATGCTGCAGCTGCTCTTCGTGCTGCTGGTGCTGCTGCTGCTGCTGCTGCCGCTTCCTTTGCTACTGCTGCTGCTGCTGCTGCTGCTGGTGCTGCTGCTGCTGGTGCTCCTGCTGCTTCTAGTACTTCTTCATTATCGTCTTTCCTCCCTGAAGGTTTCTCTGGTGTTGCATCTCCGTTTGACTTAGATTTGCTCTACTTTTCTTCTTCTTCTTCTTCTTCTTCTTTTTCTTTCCCTAACCCTACTCACTTTGCATACCCCCCCTCGCCTTCGTTTGTTTTTCCTCCAGCTTCTTCGTTTTCGATGCCAGTCCCTCAGTCTCCTCCTGCATTTACTTCTTCTGCATCTTCACTTCTTTCTGCTGCTTCTTCATATGCTACTGCTGCTTCTTCATTTGCTTCTGCTGCTTCAGCATATGCTTCTGCTGCTTCTTCCTTCACTCCTTCTGACTCTGCATTTCCTTTTTCTGCTCCTGCTACTCCTTCTGCTGCTGCAGCTCCTGGTCCTGATGCTGCTGTTTCTGCTGCTTCTGCTGCTGGAGAAGCAGCAGCAGGTGAGGAAACAAAACGCTCTCAGCTTTTGTCTTCTCCAAAGAAAACACCTAGACGAATTCCCTATCCGTTCATTGTTACACGTGATCCTCAAACTGAAGAAGGAGGAAAAGAAAAACCGAGTAAAAAACAAAAAACAGTGAAATAAAAAGAAGCAAAAGAAGGAAAAGAAAAGGCAAAACAAACGCAATAAGCACGCACTTCAAGTACTGCAGGAGCAGCTGCAGCAATAGCAGCAGCTGCAGCTGCAGCAGCAGCAGCAGCATTTTCTGGTGTCTGCTGTTTCTCGCTGTTGTATGGAGAGCAGCGGGAGATAAAGAAAAATTATCTATTGGGGCTTATGCTTCGCTGTACAACAAGAAGAGGTTAGAAAATAAAATAAAAACAGGAAAGGAAAGAAATTGTAAGGGCTTCATCTATGTGCATTATATATATGCTCCCTGCTTCTACTGTCGCTGCAGAAGCATGCTGCAGCAACCGCACCGAAGAATGGTGCAGTAGCAGCAGCAAATGCTGCAAATGCAGCAGCAAATGCTGCAAATGCAGCAGCAAATGCTGCAAGTGCAGCAGAAATAGTTACAACACTAGCAAATATAGGAATATGGATGCAGCAACAGCGCCTGCAGCAGCAACTGCAGCAGCAGCAGCAGCAGCAGCAGCAGGAGATATAAAATGTCCCGCGTGCAAGCGCTGCACTGCTGAGAGAAAAAGAATATTTTCTCCCCTTTGCTGTCCTCTGTTTGTATGATTTTTTTAATTTGTTGTGTTTGTTGCTGCTGCTGCTGCTGTTGCAGCAGCAACAGCAGCAACAAGTGTATGTCTGTTGTGTTTTATACATGTTCAGACGCAGCAGCGTTATTTATCTGCTACCGATGCATCTTCTGTATAGTGTATACCCCCTAAGCCTTGCTTTATATTTATTTTATTTGTTTTGTTTGCTTTCCTATCGCGCTTTCGTGTTGCGCCAGTTTGTTTTTTTATTTTATTTTGCGGCGTTGTGCTGCACTCATGTTTGTCTTATTTTAGATGTTTGTAGCTGTTTTGTTTTCTTTCTTGTGTTGTGTTGGTGTATATTCTTCTTCTCCGTTGTATATTAAATAACAATAAACATAATTAAATATAAAATATGCTGCTGCATGCATGCATGCATGCATGCAGATTTACCGATGTGTGGATATATTTATATGTAAGTGTATTTATGTTTGCTTCGCTAATAAGAAAAGGAAAATCTTTTCTTCATTCATTTAAAACAAACTGTTCGTCCCTCAGGAAAAAAAATCATAATACCGATACAGAGTTATTTAACTCCATACAGATTAATTAAAGTAAATAATATATTAATATACGAATGAGATGTAGATAAACAAATAGTAAATAAATAAATAAATAATAAATAAATAAACGCATACACATGCATATAATAGTATACCTTATTTTTGTGGATAAACAACGAGGCAAGTAAATAAATAAATAAAACAAAAACGAGAGGAAACAGACAAAAAAATATATAACTATTCAAGAAAAAGAGGCAAATAAATGAATGAACATAAATATATATGAAAGTAAAGAAGTAGATAAACAATCAAAGAAATAAATGCACTGAACAAATAACTAAATAAGCAAATAAATGTATTTAAAAGATGCCTTTTAATTTATTTATTTCCCCGACCTTCTTCGTTATAAAACAGGAACTGAAATCGATCGGTAATACATAATAAATGAAAAATAAATAATAAACAACAGGTAATAAGTAATAAATAATGAGCAGCTAATAGTAAATAAAAAACAACAAGTAAACAAATAGTTTGTAATAATAGTAAACAGTATACGTTAAGGAATAAACATTAGAGAACAAATAATCAGAATGAAGAATAAGCACTAAAGAATAAACAACAACACTGATAGAGAATACGCATGAAAGAACAAAAACTAAACAAAGAACAAAGAACAAGAGAAAATAAACAGAAGGAAAAAGCAGAAGGACAGGGAAGAAAAGAATAGTAGAATACAAACAGCAGCAGCACCAGCAAAAGCAGCAGCAGCAATAGCAGCAGCAAAAACACCCTTTTTTGTGCATTACTTTGTCTCGTTTGTTTATTTTTTAATTGGTTGTTTGTTATATTTAGTCATTTCACTTTATTTAATTTTTTATGTATTTTATTTATATATTTATTTTGTCTAGAATTTATCTGCCCCCTTCGCCCCCTTCGAAATTAGAAGAAGCAAAATATTCGCAGTAATAAATAAATAAATAAATAAATAGGTAAATAAGTAAAAAATAAATGAAGGAGCCAAACAAAGGGAGACAGAGAAAATAGAGAAAAGATATTAAGAAAGAGATGATGAATAGACATTCACAGAATAGAACATTAAAGAGAAAAATAATAAAGAAGGTAGACAAAAGAAGCAAATAAAGAAGATAAAGAAAAGAGATGAAAGGGATAAAGGAGACGGAAAGGAAAAAAAGAAAATAAAATATAAAAGAATCAAAAAGGATAAAGAAGACAAGGTAGACAGAAGAAAACAAAAGAAATAAAACGTAAGAGAGGTTAGATATATTAAATAAACAGAATAAATATATGAATAAAATAAATAAAAGAAGAAGAAGAGACAGTGGGATGAGGTAGACATACAAAAGAACGATAAAGGAGAAAGAGAAGATTGGAGAAAAAGAAGATAAAAGAGATTTGCGAAGGAAATAAAATATAAAAGAAATAAACGAAATAAAAGAAATGGACGAAATAAAAGAGATAAAATAAAACAAACATAAAATACAGTAAATAAATAAAAGAGTGAAAGGGTATATTTCTAATCTCCCTTGAAACTGCTGCTGCGGTAGTGCACAGGGCACTACACTGGGCTCTCCGTTGAGGCCCTGGCGATCTAGAGCAGGGCAAGCGGACGACTCCAATAATTTGGGGGACGAGGGCCTAAGGACGCCACGGTGGCGAGAGGCCGAGCGAAGACACGGAGTCTAACAAGGGCGGCATGTTGTGTATCGCGGGCACAACCGCTGTCCTTAGAGTGAACGTGGCAGGGAGCCAATGCGACGCGCTCCTGGATACGGGGACTCCTGAAGCTTCATTAACCCACAGACTGTTGAGCGCTTACACCTGAAGGTGCGGCCGCGTGCCGAAAAGTGCATGTTCACACTGGCCAGTGGATAGCAGTTGCGAATTGGTCGCGTCATCAAGAGACTGAAGATGTGGTGTGGTCGAGAGCGTTTCACAGGGGATTTCCTGGTTGTGCCGGTGCCGTACGGCGTGGTGATGGGCCTTGAATGGTTGATGGCACATAAGGCAGCTCGGCATTTCACGTTCGAACGTACGTGAATGGGAAGTGGTGCGACTTACCTGTAATACGGTCCTGCAGAGGAAAGCAAAAGGGGAACAATACCGAAGCATCAAGCCAGAGGGCCCCGGCGGAGCAGGCATATGATATTATCACCCGACAAGTGTCGGGCATGTGGGCAGAAGAGGCCGCGGCCCTCCTAAGGCAGCCGCCAAGGAGGTGCAGCTCCTATGTGAGGGCTGGGATAAAGGTACCGATAGACTCAATAGTGCAACAAGCCAGGGGCAATACACGAAGGCTCAATGAGCCTGTGCAGAGACTAAATCTTATGCTGGCCTTACATGAGGCCGATGAGACAGTAGGACTACGCCATAGAGATGAAAGGCAAGGGGCATTGTGTTGTACCCTGATTGGGAACCACCCCCCACCAGTCAACCAGATCAGCAACCAAACTCATGAGAATACTTCCGCAGAGGAAGGTGAGGAGGAGTCACCGGGGGCCGATGCTCAATTGGAATATCATCAATTCGATGAGCGGGTAGTGACTTCAAGGGAGCAGGGAAACCCTAGGCAGATCCTCGAGGTGTTACGGGAACATCGGAAAGTGTTCCCTGATGCGCTACCTGCAGGGATGCCGCCGAAGCTACCTTACGATCACCGCACCCTACTTGGTCCCGGCAAGCTGCCGGCCAAGCCCGCTATATGTCGTATGTCACCCGAGCAGTTAACTTTCCACAAACACGAGATAACTAAACTGGTGACTAACGGCTGGCTAGGTCCTACATACTCATCCATCTGTGCCCCAATGATAATGGTGGGCAAGGGGGATGATGGCACGGGTCAGCGGTAGATGCGAATGGTCATCAACTACTAGGCACTGAACCCTCTAGCGATTACCCCCGACTTCCCTCTTCCTCCCATTCAGACGATTCCTGAAGTGCTAGGGGGCGCTAAATACTTTTCCACTCTGGACCTTGAAGCTGGGTTCCACCAGATTCGCATGAACAAGCGCGATCGGTGGAAGACAGCCTTCCGTTCTGTACTGTGGCTCCACGAATACAAGGTGATGCCTTTCGTCCTCAAGGGCGAACCTGCTACCTTCCAGGCCAACATCAATGCCTACTTGCAACACTTACTTGAATAGGGTATTATAGCATCCCTTGATGACGTCCTCATTTGTAGCCCAGACATCCCCAGCCACGCCCTTCTCTTACGGCAGGTGCTGGGACATACGCAATTCACCAGTTCTACCCGAAGTTCCGCACATCTAAGGCTGTGCAACGTGAACTTACATACCTGGGTTATAACATTAGAGCCGACGGAATTAAGCCCGCGGTGGATAAAATTGAGGCGATTCGGGTCTGGCCAGCGGTGCTGACTAACGAGGCTTAAGTACGACAGTTGCTCGGGACGGTTAACTACTGCCATATGTTTATGGGACCCGACTACGCGAAGGTGGCTAGTCCTCGTGTAGACCTTACTAGCAAGGCAGCCCCTTTTCACTGGGACGCCACACACACGCAGGCGGTACGGCGGTTGAAACAAAGCTTAACCGATTTTAACGCACCACAAGTCCCCGGCATGTTCAAGCCCTTTGAGCTATACACCGACGCTTCAGGCTATGCAATCGGTGGTGTGCTCGAGCAAGCTGCTCACCCAGTTGGGTTCCTTCCCCAGCTGATGAACACAACTCAGCAGAAATACTCTATCTATGACAAGGAACTCTTGGCCTTGGTCACCGCCCTTGACAAGTGGTCTCACTTACTCCGTGTCGCTAAAGTCACCGCGTACGCCGATCATCAAGCCCTTACTCACAACAGCATAAGGCGTCGAAGCCTCTCTGCGAAAGAACACCTCGCTGGCTAGACATCCTCGCGGAGTTCCCCGATCTCACCATTACATATCTGGGAGGGACGCGTAACGGGGTGGCAGACACAATAACCCGACTTCCCTGTTATCCTCCTCCACAGCAGTCAAATACCAGCGATGGCCCGGCGACCCCTAGACGTGAACCCTCAGCAACCCTCATGCTAGCGACAGCAGACTCAGGTCGGGTTCACAACACTAGAGGCAGACGTGCCAATTATCGGCAGATAGCCTTCTTTCGCTCCAGGACAGCTACGCAACGCCTTCGATCACCAACGCCCCCCCTTTATCCCCTGCAGTAAGTCCACCAAGGGCTGAACCCCCACAGCCGCCCCAGGTGTCCCAGACCTTCTCAAGACCCTCTATTGGCCTAAGGGCGATTCCAAGTGTCCCACGTTCCGTGAACCTTTCCGTAATCCCTACAACACTGTAGTTCAACAGCCCGGTAAACCAATGCCTTTCGAGTTCCGCAACCGCAAACTTACCTCCCGTTTTGTAGCGCCGTATTTACGCATCTGCATCCACGGGCATCTGGCTCATTTGCGTTCCACAGTCCCCGGAATTCCTGACACACATTCTTTATATTCACCACGAGCACGTTACAGCAGGACATCGAGGCCAAAAGAAGGCCTTCCTGGCCCTCAGCAAGCATTACTACTGGCCGGGCATGCGAGCGTAAACCTTAGCATAGTGGAGTCGTGTGTTCATCGTGGCGCCTCCAAATCGCTAAACCAGAAGCTAGCCGGCCTCCTTCAGCCAATTATTCCTTCACGCCCGTGGAGTCACCTGAGCGTAGATTTTACTACCGACCTCCCTCCGGCGTTAACGGGCCACGACTTGATACTAGTCTTGGTCGACTCGCTCAGTAAGATGGCTCACTTTATTCCAGCGAAGAAGTCTTTCACCGCCGCTGACACTGTCAACCTCTTGGCCGACCGCCTTATTGGTTACCGCGGCCTCCCCGATGTCCTTATATCCGATCGTGACCCGTGCTTCCAGTCGGAATTGTAGCGGTTGTTGCGCTCGCGCTTTGATATCAAGCGCGCCCTTTCCTCCCGCCTACCACCCACAACTGACGGCCAAGCATAACGGGTTAATCGTACGTTGGAAGAGATGCTGAGTACTGATATCCGGTTGGATGAGCGCGAGTGGGCACGTCTTTTGCCTGCATTGGAGTTGGCATACAACACAGCCAGCCACTCCTCTGCATGGCTCTCTCCCTTTAAGGTGATGATCGGGGAAAATCCCTTCACCGCCGCGGAACTGGACATTGTTGGTGCGCTTTCCCCAACACTCACTCCCGCGATGACGAAGTTGTTCCGCCAACTTTGCGACCGCGCGCAGAGCCACATTCTGCAGGCAAAGTGGAACCAGAAATACTATGCAGACTCCAAGCAGCTCGCAGTGGAGTATGCGGTCGGGGAAGAAGTCTGGCTGTACGGCAAACACCTCCCGGCCCTTAACGATTGTGCTAAATTCGAGCCGCGCTATCGCGGCCCGTTCAATGTTATTTAACGGATAGGGACGGTGGCCTAATGCCTCGCCTTACCTCCGGCCTATTCCTGCCACAACGTGTTCCACGTGTCCCAGCTACTCCCTCATCGTCTTCGTTAGCTCCGCCAGAAGCCGAAGTTGGATGACCACCCACCCGCGATGAGGCCCGCAACCCGACGGGTCAATGCGTCGTCAATAATATTTTAGACCAGCGCGGCACTGGGGACGACACCCAGTACCTTCTCAAGTGGCGGGGTACCCCCGAAGGTCAAGCCACATGGGAGCCAGATCACAGCCTAACCGGATGCCCAGCCTTGGTGCGGGCTTGGAGAAACAGAGTTAGTCACACAGACACACACACGCACACAGACACACACGCACACACACATACATACACACACATACATACATGCATACATACATACATACACACACGCGCGCACACACACTCACACACACACACACACACACACACACACACACACACACACACACACACACACACACACTTCACACATCTAAATTATAAAGTTGTACAAAATAGTCAAGCAGTGAAAAACACGCCCAACAACTTTGCACGGGAACCGGCAACAAGTCAAGAATGCCTAGGATGGTGGGGACATGTAGGCAGCAAATACTGCACTCAGTGAAATAACGGCACACACAGCATCGATGAGAGACTTTGAGACTGGGCAGGCGAGGATTGAGGCCACTAGTCATCGCCCTAATAACGCCAGAATGATAACACTATCAGTATTCACCGCAGTAGCAATTCCGATAAATGCTCTTGCAGAGCTTTGCATAGCTCTATCTAAACAGGTGTAGAAGAGAACTCCCACTATGCGACTAGAAGATAGAGCCCGAGCGTGAGTCGAGACACAGTAAAGAAAAAAATAACAAAACAATCCCTTACAAATAGGAGTTAGGTTAAATTCTGCTTCCACGCACACACCAAACCACCAAATATCATCTAGGTAACGACTTTGCATCGTTGAGCCGATGCTCTATGCGAGAACGCGTGAAGAACCAACTTTGGGAGGTAGCCTAGAAGCAGCACTTCCCGGACAGATAGGAATGAAACGCGATTAAAAAATAGGCAGTGACTGAGTAACGACTTCACTGATAGCGGCGCACGGAATACGTAAGTCGCTGCGAAAACCGGAAGCCTGAGCAGCACACGCAGCACGGCATAGCAAAGCAACCAAGCAAAGGGAGGTAGCTCGGAGCACAGCTGGGAGAGAAGACCAACATAGACCTTCCCAACGCTTCCAGGTCCAGGTTCTAGAAGAGCGCGGATGCTGGAAGTTGCTGCAGTTCAGGGATCACTAACAGAGCACAGCAGAGCACAGCAGTGCGGAGAACAACGCAACCCTAGGAGTGGCTCAGGGTATCCACGACCTCTCGTAGAGGCCCGAGTCTGCTGACGGCGGAAGGCGCTAGAACAGCGATAGGAGAGGGTGACAGCCCTCCCTGAAATAGGGCTAGAGCGGCGGGTCAATGGTTAATTCCCACCACCAGCCGTTCGAAACCATCTAGCTCAGGGGTAAAGATGACACGCATAAGGAATGGAAAGAACCGATCTCGGGAAGCAGTTTCTGTAGTGAACAGAGCTCACCCGGCTGTTACAACGTGTTACCTTAGGATGCACTACAGAGCGGCATACTAAATATCTAACGCTGAACACGGCAAAACCTTAAGGGGCCCTAAAACATCCAATCACGAATTTTACAACCAAAATCCTGTTCCACTTAATTAAGTGTCCCTCGCCGCTCAACGATGAGACGTGCCTTCTATGTCTCCCCGGATTCAGGTAAAGCCAGTATGCGGTACAGTCCCTGCACATTTGCCTTGGCCTGCTGAACTATATTCCCTCGGTACAGTCGCCCCTGCCGAAGGTACCGAGGGCCCTGTTCCTCTTAGGTGACGACCGTAGGATGGGGGTACCCTCCGCCGGCGACATGCCCGCCACTTCCCTTGCGAGTATATCATATACCTGCTCTGCAGGGGTCCTCTGGCTCACTTCTTTAGCGCTGCCCCCTCTGTCTTTCGGCACCTGGCCGAGCTCCCGGTAGCTGGCACCATTCCCATTCACGTAGGTACGCCACTTATCCGACTGAAAATACCACGCCACTCTAAGCGCGGTCGACCAATCAAGCCCCGACTCTCCATCATAGGGTTCAAGCCCAATCAAGAAATCTCCTGTGGGACACTCTCGTCCATACCGCGTCGTCGACCTCACAACGACACGGTCAATGCGCATATGTTAGCCATTGGTCACCGTCAACCTACCCTCTTCTGAAGGACGCCGCGTCTTCAGCTGTAAAAGTTCAACTATTTACTTAATGAAAATTTGAGAGGCCCCCGTATCCAGGAGCGCCTCGCTTTGGCTCCCGGCCTCGTCCACTCTTAGATCAGCAGCTGTACCCACGTTACACAATGTGCCGTCTGTTGATAGGATAGGCCTGCCTCCCGGCACCTCGCCACCATGGCACCACAACATCCTCGTCATCCGGGCTGGTGGGCTCGTCTGATCCCTCTGCTCCCCGTTCGCAGAGGTTACCTGGCTCACGCCTGGCCTCGTCTGTTTCTCCCCTAGTTTCCTCAACCTCTAGTTGAGCGCCCAATATCTGCGCGTCCCCTGTGGTTTCGGCAGCCTCTGTCGAGACGGTTCTGCCCCCCCACCTATCATCTTCTTCCCCCACTCCGCGGATACTGGGATGCTATTAGTTCCTGTCAGTACTGGGCGCAGAGCCCCTGTGCCTTTACTTTCATAACATACGTTGGCTCTCCCAACCCGCGTTCTCTCTACACTAGCGAAGGGCCCTCCATTGCCCTCGTTACTTTCCGTTTCGCTTGCATCAACTTATGCCGCATCTGCCTGTTCTTGGCCAACCTGTCATCTCTCGTTCCCACCAAGCGCTTCAACTCAACTGACGCCTCTTGCCAGGTACAGAAGTGCCTTTGGCCGTTGTCACTGAGCGCAAGAACCACATCCTCGGGTAGGAGGACTTCGAAAATCCGTTCTAGTTCTTCCCGTGTCAGCTCACCCCCTAGGCTCACAGCCATAGAAAATTCACCCGAAGACTGCACTGGGTTGCTATTCCACTTGATTTCAGCTATGCTCCCCATCTGCTCATACTTCGGCAACCCACAGAGTCTAGGGAGGAACTCCCTCTTGACCGCGCTTCATTCCTCCAAGTCTATAGTTTTGTCGAAGAGATACAACCAGAAATCTAGCGCAGGGCCAAGTAGGTATTGGCGAATTTCGATTACCCAGTCCCTGCGGGGTATTCGCTTATTCTCGAACTCCATCTGTAGTAGACGTAATAAACTTCGCCTGCTACTGCATACGTTAGTCTCTGTCCACGCCTCTTCGCTAGACGCCATCTTGTCACGGTCGTGTGAGCAGTGCCGTGGATTTTGGTGGGCAAGTCTCTTCAATGGAGCAATGGGTGTTTCCTCGTCGTCTGTATCCAATTCACTCTCTGATTCGTAATACGGCTCTCTTCTTCTGGTTCCGATCCTTGGGTTCCGCCTAGAATCTTTCCGGTCGCATAGGTGCATGCGTGTAACGGGCTGAGACAAACTGGATCTGCTGACGAAACGACTCAACAACAGCCGCAAACGCGGGCTCAACATGAGTGCCAGAGCTCTCGGGTTGTAACATCTCGGAGCAGCCCCAAATGTAGTGAACAGCGGGCATAGCTCTTACTACATGTGTACCGTATGTCAACCGAACTGGGTTCAGAGACTGCACCAATGCACTAACGCAACCTATCAGGCCTATAGCAACTCAATAATTCAAATAAACGAGTCTGAAACATATTCTAGTCCCGTACCCTTAAAGAGGAAAATGCCAGAGGAATAATATGATGCCTGACTCTGCCTTGAGTCAGGCAGCTGCTCCAGAAGTCTAATCGCCAGCCACATAATCCCGGCGTGGTTGCGGAGCATTCTTGACTTGATCACCCTAGATTCCCATCTATTGTATTGCCATTATCTCCATTCGCATCGTATTAGTTCTTTGCATCTGACAAGATCTCTAAGGCATCACTTCAGTTCCATTGTAATGCCTGTGCACTACAGTTCCAGTCCGAGCAAGGGGGCAAGTTGCACTGTACAGAGCACTGCAATGGGCTCTCCGCTGAGTCTCTGGCGGTCTAGTTCGCGATCAAGCACAATATAAGGAATATTTAGTACTTGACAAAGAGCTTTTAGAGCAAGTTTGTGGGCAATTAGGCTACGAGAGCCTACATCCCCTAGGGTATAGGGTATAGGGTCTGGCTGGCCCGCGAAGGGTCGGCCCTAGGGGTCAGGCGGGCGGCACAAACACCCATTGGGCACTCAATATCTGGATCAGGCATTTGAGATATACGGTCCGTAATTGGGTGTTTTTAGGGTCCTTTGAAGAGAAATTGCCATGTGCGGCGTTAGACATATAGTGTGCACCTATGTAGTGCAGTGTCGCGCAACACGTAGTAAGGGCATCGGGTGATAGCTATTCATTACAGCTATCGCTGCTGCTACTGCTGCTGCAGCTGCAGCAGCAGCAACTCCACACACTCAATCGACATGCAAAACGAGAGGAAACTTCTTGCTGCATGCAATACAGGCACAAGAACAGCAGCAGCAACAGCAGCAGCAGACTGCTGCTGCTTCAAATGGATAAGAGAGACAACCGCACAGCAGCAGCAGCTGAACAGCTACTGCTGCTGCTGTTGCTGCTGTTGCTGCTGTTGCTGCTGTTGCTGCTGTTGCTGCTAGGTTTGGTGTATATGCTAAGCAGCATTTTTCCTTGCACGTTTATATTGTGCGAGATACAGCGAAGAAAACGGCTGCTTCTTCTCTTTTATTAGTGGAAACAAAGTAAACAAGGGAAAATAAATACAAACAAACGAACAAACAAACAAACACAGCAAAGAGACACTATCGGTGCACAGGATCGTGATCGTGTGCTGCTGCCGCTGCTGCTGCTGTTGCTATTGCAGCCGCAGCAGATATAAAGAATCAGTACATAATAAACGAAATTCATAATAATAACAAAGATAATCAAACTGTAATTAATTTGATCTCGTTGCAGCCTTTTCATAGCGCCTACTACGTTGAGAAGGAGACGCCCAGCAGCAGCAGCAGCAGCATCAGCAGCCGCAGCAGGACCAGCTTCAGCAGCAGCTTGTTATTTTCATTGACAACGAAAGTGGGAGGTGAGATTTTCTGCTGTTGTTTCTATTTCTGCTGTTGTTGTTGTTGCTGCTGTTGCTGCTGCTGCTGTTGCTGCTGCTGCTCTTGGGGAGTCTCCTCCTGGCACGCACGGACGAGCGGTCCGCCTGTGTAACAGCAGCAGCAGCAACAGCATCTACAGCAACAGCAGCAGCTATACAGCTGTCGTGCTGCCTATTCGTGCATTTCTTTGGGCGTGCTTACTTGTTGTTTCTTCTTTTCTTTCTATGTTTAAAGGTCCTCGGCAACAACAAAATTTTATGCTGAGGCACAATAGAAGGTTGCTGCTACTCAGCGATTTTCTGAAATCGCAGTCTCTGAGCACGTTCTCGTGGGGATCGTCTCCTCCTGGATCGTTTTTTTTCTAGTATCGTTTCCTTTGGGATAGTCTCCTCTAGGATCGATTTTTCTGGGATATTCTCCCCCGGGATCGTTTTTTTTTCCGGGATCGTCTTGTGGGGATCGACTCCTCCGGGATCTTTTTTTTTTCTGGGATCGTTTTTTGGGGATCGCCACTTCCTGGATCGTTTTTTTATGAGATCGTCTTGTGGGGATCGTCTCCTTTCTACTTTAAACAATGCACTTTAAGAAGTGCAGCCGATTTAAAGAGCCCCCAAACTCAAAGGGCGGCTGTGCACGAATCTTTTCGTCATCAGTATTATTATTGTTAATCTTCTTCTTTGCTGCTCCGGTATATCCTGCAGCAGCAGCAACAGCTGCTGCTGCAACGTCACCATTGTCGCCAGCATCAGCAGCATCAATAGGAGGAGAGATGCAGTCTACACCTCGTGCATCTCCCTCAGGTCCCCAGCAAGATCAGCAACTCTTTTATGCAGGGGTCTCAGACAAAGACAATACTCCAGAGACATTTCCTTTGAATGAAAATCTTCTTGATAAGGAGGGAGAGCCTATGAATGCAGCTCTTTCTCATTCTTTCAATACTCCGGCACAGCTGCGCCGCACAGTTTTATTGTCTTTATTTGCTGTTTCTTCTCTTGTCTTTCTTCTTTTAATGTGCGGCTTCCGAATTAAACATTCTCGGGTGTCTAGGCACCTCCGCAGACTCGCAGATTCTGAAAAGCCCTGGGATAAATGCGAGGGAGATGGGCCCCCTCATGAAGCTGCTGCTGGTGCTGCTGCTGCAGCGGCAGCTGGAGCAGCAGAAGCAGATTCAACAGCAGAGGCAGGATCGGAGACAGAACCACCAGAACCAGAAACAGCAGCAACAGCGGCAACTGCAGCACCAGAGACACAAGGTGAAGACGCGCCTGAAGGAGGAGCAGGAGCAGAAGAAAACGAGACAGAAGGAGAACCAGCAACAGCAGCAACAGGAAAAGAAGAAGCAGCAGACGGAGCTGAGGCAGAGACTGACACAGCACCTGAAACAGAAGCAACAGCAACAGCACCAAACGAACCACTCCCTCCTATACCAGAAGATCTAGCAGAAGGAGCAGGAGCAGAAGTAGGAGCAGCAGCAGGAGGCGAAGGACCACCAGATCCAGCAGCAGCAGCTCCAGCAACAGCGCAGGAAGGAGCAGCAGGAGCAGAAGGAGGAGCAGACGAAGCAGCAGCAGACGGAGAAACAGCAGACGGAGCAGCAGCGGAGGCGGGACCTGCACGGGTGTCACTAGACACAGCAGCAGTAGCAGCAAGAGTAGCAGCACAGCAAAGAGTAGACTACTTTTTAAGGGAGTTAATGGATATGTGGGAGACAGGAAGACAACTAATGCAGCACCTACGGGATTGTGACCGTGCTTCTCTTGCGGAGATGCTGCTGAAGATTGCTGGAATGGAGCTGTCCACAATAGCAGCAGCGGCAGCAGCAGGAAGCCTACACGTAGCATCTGCAACGAAGAGGAAGGTACACGACCTAGCTACTGCACTTCTACAGCAGGGGAGTCTGGAGCTGATGAAGGCGGGCTGCAACATCGGATTGTGGGACGAAGACCTGAATGGTAGCAGCAGCAGCAAGGACAACAGCAGCAGCGCCACGCAGGCGCTGCTTTTCTTAGGGGCCTTAACAGGTAAATCACCAGCACTATGGACGACGCGTACTTCATGGACGGAGCCGTCTCAAGAGGAAGCAGGGGCAGCAGCAACTGTTGCTGCTGTTGCAACTGCTGTAGCACAACAGCAATTCTTGAGTTATTATCCACCAGCAGCAGGTGCTGCTACTCCTTTCTGGGGACAATATTTACAGCCACAGCAGATGCTGCAGCAGCAGATGCTGCAGCAGCAGATGCTGCAGCAGCAGCAAGGGCTGGTGCCGCCGCAGACGCCGGTGCCTCTGCTGCAACAGCAGGACACTGCGCTGCCGCAGCAGACGCCGCTGCCGGAGCAGGAGCAGCAGCCGGAGGAGCTAGAGCTGCCGCAGCTACAGCAGCCTGTGCTGCAGCCGACAGTAACTCTGGAGCCGCACCCTGGGCCGGCGCAGCCGACGCTGGTGCTGCCGCCACAGGTGCCGGCATGGATGCCGCCACAGGGATGGATGCAGCCAGGGGTGCTGCTGCCTCCAGGGATGCTGCTGCCGCCTCACGCGCAGCCTTTCTTAGTGCAGCAGCCGCAGCATTTTCCAGGGTTTCTGCCGGGTCGTGGCTGGCCTCCACCAACACCTGTAGTGCTTTTGGGGCCCTCTGAAAGAGGAGCAGCAGCAGCAGCAAGCGGGCGCAGTGCGAGTGTGCCGCTGCTGCTGCTGCGGCGGCACGGTACATCCAGACCAAGTGGGTATGACAGCAGCAGCAGCAGCAGCAGCAGCAGCAGCAGCAGCAGCAGCAGCAAGGGCAGCAAGACCAGAAAGAGGGGAACCAAGGGTGCCAAGCGCCGCAGGCGCACTCTGACCGCCGCTGATATTCTGTTTGGTGCTGCAACTGTCGGTAGAATGTGCGTTTCAGAAGTAACGTGGACTATGCGACAGCTTTCTCTCACCTTAGCCCCCGATGCCTCTCCTACATTTTCATTTCACTTTCCTCGCTTTCCTTCTTCTTCCTCTTCCTCTTCTTCTTCTTCTTCTCCCTCTTCTTCTTCTTCTTTTACTTTTCCTAGTTTTCCTCCTCAAGAAGATGTAGATCTATGTTTGCGTATTGTAGGAGGATTGATGCAAGTAAGACTAGAGCAGATAATGCTGCAGGGTATATTTTCTACTGGTATTAGACATGTTGAAGAGATAGCAGGCTGCGACCCGTTTAGTTCGTCTGCTGGCATTCCTCCTGTTCACAACTTAACTGTTTCTTCGACGAGGAGGCAAGTGAAGGAACTTCTTGCAGTACGAAGTAATGTTACGGGGCACCATGCTCAAGAGCAGCAACAGCAGCAGCAGCAGCAGCAGCAGCAGCAGCAGGAGAGGCTTAGGGAGGTGCTGGATCGGTATGGGAAGGGCCTCCTCACTGATGCACATGAGAGAGAAGCTGCAGCACTATCAGATGCTGCTGCTGCAGCATCTTCTGCTGTTGCTGCTGTTCTTTATTCAGAAAGCGGCAGTACAGCAGCAGCAGACGTAGATGATGATTTTGATGATGATTCTGTCTTTTACCCACCATCTCCAACTGAGCGTTTTTCTTCTAGCTCTCCACCCCTTTATGAGTCTTATCGTTTGCCGTCTTCTTCTTCTTCTTCTTCTTCTTCTTCTTCTTCTTCCTCTTCTTCTGCTTCTTCCTCTTCTTCTTCCTCTTCTTCTTCTTTTTCTTTTCCCTCTTTCTCTCTCTCTTCTTCTTCTTCTACTTCTTCTTCCAGAGATGCAGATGTAGAAGATAATGATACTGATAGTGAAAGTGACTACGATTATGATTTTGATGATGATGTATTTTATCCTGGTACAGATGCAAGTTCTGCTCTATATGCTTTCTTTAATAGATCCGCTGCTGGTGTTGCTGCTGCTGGTGCTGCTGCTGCTGCTGCTGCTGCTGCTTCCTTTGCTACTGCTGCTGCTGCTGCTGCTGCTGGTTCTGCTGCTGCTGCTGCTGCTGCTGCTTCTAGTACTTCTTCATCATCTTCTTTCTACCCTGAAGGTTTCTCTGGTGTTGCATCTCCGTCTGAGTTCGATTTGCTTTACTTTTCTTCTTCTTCTTCTTCTTCGTCTTTTTCTTTCCCTAACCCTACTCACTTTGCATACCCCCCTTCGCCTTCGTTTGTTTTTCCTCCAGCTTCTTCGTTTTCGATGCCTGTCCCTCAGTCTCCTCCTCCATTTACTTCTCCTCGATTTCCTTCGCCTTATCCTGTGTTTTCATCACCTTCTGTTTTTCACTTCCCTGTTGGGCAGTTTCCTTCTCCTCCTTCCCCATATTTTTCTGCTGCTTCTTCATTTGGTTCTGCTTCTACTGCATTTGCTACTGCTGCTTCTTCATTCGCTTCTGCTGCTTCTTCATTTGCTTCTGCTGCTTCTTCGTTTACTTCTTCTGATTCCGCATTACCTTTTGCTGCTCCCGGTATTCCTTTTGTTGCTTTTGCTACTCTTGGTACTCCTTTTGCTGTTCCTGGTACTCCTTCTGCTGCTCCTGGTATTCCTTTTGCTGCTCCTGGTACTCCTGGTGTTGCAGCTGCCGAGGCTGCTACTGGTGCTGCTGCAGGAGCAGCAGCAGGTCATGAAGCAAAACATCCTCGGCGGCCTCTCCCTCCAACGAAATCACCTAGACGACTTCCCTATCCGTTTTTTGTTACACTTGATACTCAAAATGAAGACAACGAAAACGAAGAAAACGAAGAAAAAGAAGAAAAGGAAAAGGAAAAGGAAGAAAAAGAAAAACACTCGCAGTAAATACGCACTCATTTGCAGCAGCAAAGGCTGCAGCAGCAGCAAGTACTGCAGCAGCAACCGCAGCAAAAGCAGGAGCAGCAGCAGCAGGTGCAGGTGCAGAAGCAGCAGCAGCAGCATTATATGGTGTCTGCTGTTTCTCGCTGTTGTGAGAAGGAGAGCAACAAGAGATAAGGAACAATTATCTATTGAGGTTTATGCTTCACTGTACGACAAGAATAAGTTTAAAAAATAAAATAAAAACGGTAGAGAGAAGAACTTGTAAGGGCTTTATCTATGTGCATTTGTTTAATATGCTTCTTCTTCTACTGTCGCTGCAGCAGAAGCATGCTGCAGCAACAGCACCGACGAATGCTGCAGCAGCAGCATCAAATGCTGCAAATGCAGCATCAAATGCTGCAAATGCAGCATCACATGCTGCAAACGCAGCATCAAATGATGCAAACACAGCATCAAATGCTGCAAACGCAGCATCAAATGATGCAAACACAGCATCAAACACTGCAAACGCAGCGTCAAATGCTGCAAACGCAGCATCAAATGCTCCAAACGCAGCATCAAATGCTGCAAACGCAGCGTCAAATGCTGCAAATGCAGCAGCAAATGCTGCAGCAGCAGCATCAAATGTTGCAAATGCAGCAGAAATAATACAACACCGGCAAATACAGGGACATGGATGCAGCAAGAGCGCCTGCAGGAGCAACTGCAGCAGCAGCAGCAGCAGCAGGAGATAGAAAAGGTCCCGCATGCACGCGCTGCACTGCTGAGAGAAAAAGGATATTTTCTCGCCTTTGCTGCCTCTGTTTTTATTATTCTCTAATCCGTTGCGTTTGTTGTTATTGCTGCTGCTGCTGCTGCAACAGCAGCAGCAGCAACAGGTATATGTCTGTTGTGTTTTATGCATGTTCAGACGCAGCAGCATTATTTATATGCTTCCGATGCATTTGCTGTATAGTGTTTATTAGGGCTATATACCCCCTTAGGCTTGTTTTATATTTATTTTATTTGTTTTGTTTGCTTTTTATTTCATTATTTTGTTGTTGGTGTGCTTGTTTGTTTGTTCTTTATTTTACTTTGCTGCGTTGTGCTGTATTTATGTTTACCTTATTTTATTGTATTTTGAATGTTTCTAGCTGTTTTAGTCTCTCTTGTGTTGTGTTGGTATATATTCTTCTTCTTCGTTGTATATTAGATAACAAATAATAAATATAATTAAATATAATAGTATGCTGCTGCATGCATGCATGCATGCATGTAGATTTACCGACGTGTGGATATGTTTATATGTAAGTGTATTTATGTTTATTAGATAAATAAAGAAAAGATATTCTTTTCTTTATTTATTTAAAACAAACTTTTCTTCCCTCCGACAAAAAATAATAATACCGATCAAGAGTTACTTAGTTCCATACAAATTATTTAAAATAGAAAATATATTAATAGACAAATAAATAAATAAATAAATAGTATACAAATGAATAAGCAACATATCAGCAAATAAATGACTGAATAAATATATAATTGTATATTTTATTTATATAAATAAACAACCAAGCAAATAAATAAATAAAAAATAAATAAAACAGAAGAAATAAACGAATAAATATATAGCTACTCAAGAAAAAGGAACAAATAAATAAACAGGTAAATATAAATATGCTCGTAAATAGATAAATACACAATTAAATAAATACACAAATAAAACAGCCAGCTTAATAATCAGGAAATAACTATATTTAAACCATATTTTTTTATTTATTTCCCCGCCCTTCTGCTTAATAAAATAAAAAATGAATCTAATAAATAGTAAATGATAAATGAATAGACAGTACGTAAAAAAGAATAAATAACAAATAATAAATAACAGGATAATAAATAATAAATAATAAATAAATAAAGAATATGTAATAAAAAATAAGAACAAATAATGAACAAATAAATAAATAATAAAAAACAGTAGATAATAAATAGTAGATGACTACATAGAAAATAAATAAGTAAAAAAATAATAAATAAATAAATAATGGATAATAAATAATTAATGCTATATAGTACATAATAAGTAATAAGTAATAAATAAGAAATAAATAAACAGTAAGTAATAAGTAAAAATAAATAATAAATGCTAAATTGTAGGTATTGAATACATAAATAATGAGCGATAAATAGCTAAATACTGTATAAATAAACAAATAATCTTAACTAATAAATAACAATAACTAATGCATAACTAAATAATAAATAATGAGTAATAAACAAGTAATAATGCATTTAAAACCCAGTAATAAATAATAGATAATAGATAACAGAACAATGGATAACAAATAATAAATAAATAAATAAATAAATAAATAAAAGGTAGATAATAAATAAGAAAATAATAAGTAATAAAAAATAAATAATTAAATAATGGATAATAAATAATAAATAGATAGATAATAGATAGTAAATAACTAAGTAATAGGTAATAAATATAATAAATAAATAATATGTAAGTAAAAAATAGATTATCCATAAATAATAAATAATAACTAACTAAATAATAAGTAATATATTATATATAAATGGTAGATAAGTAATAAAAACTAAATAATAAATAGTAAATAAATAAACAGCAAACAATATATACTAAATAATAAGCATTAGCGAATAAAGTATGAAGAATCAGTAATGAGAATAAAGAAAAGACCTTGAAGAATAACAATAAAGAATAAGCATTAAAGAATAAAATATAAATAGAGAATAAAAACAACGAGAAAATAAACAAAAGAATAGAAGAGGAAGAAAAGTAATAAAACACAAACAGCAGCAAGAGCAGCATCAATATCAGCAGCAAGAACATCATTTGTTTGTTTATTGCTTTGTTTTGTTTGTTTATTTGTTTTATTTGTTGTATTTGTTCATTTGTTATTTTTTGTATTTATTTATTTTATTTATTTGCTTGCTATTTCCTGTAATTCTTTTTTGTCTTTGTTATATTCGCACATCTTCATATATTTTTCTGTTTTTCTTTTTCTTTTCATATATATATTCATCTTTATCCTCCTTTTTATTTTCATTTTTATCTTTCTGTTTATCTTTATCTCTTTCTTTTTATCGTTTTCTTTCTCTTTCTTTTTCTTTGTGTTTTTCTCTTTGTTTTTCTTTTTGTTTTTCTCTGTGTCTTCTTTGAAGTTAGAAGAAGGCAAATATTAAAAGTAATAGATAAAAAATCAATAAAGAAGACAAACCGAAGGAGAGAGAGAGAGAGAGAAAGAACATAAGGGAAAAATATACAAGAAAGAGAAGACAAAAAGATATTCAAAGGATATAACATTAAAGAAAGAAATAATAAAGGAAGACAAACAAGATGAGAAAATAAAGAAAATAAAGAAAAGAGAAAAAAGATATCAGAGAGACAAAAAGAAGAAAGAAAATATAATATAAAAGAATTAGAGAAGATAAAGAAGATGAACGAGATACAAGAAAATAAAAGAAATGAGAGGTAAGGGAGGTTAAATATATTAAATAAATGCAGTAATTTAATTAATTAATTAATTAAGAGAACAAGAAGAGACAGAAGGCTTAGGCGTATATACAGAAGATCGATAGAGGAAACGGAGGAGATGAAGGGGAGAAAAAGATTAAAGGGACTTAAAAAGAAATTAAAATATAAAAAATAAAATAAAAGAAATAGAACAAAAGTAAGAATCAAGAAATGAATAAACAGAAGAGAATGACGTGGCATACTTCTAGTCTCTCTCGAAACTGCTGCTGATGCTGTTGCTGCTGCTGCTGCTGCTGCTGCAGCAGCAACCCCACACACTCAAGCGATATGCAAAACGAGAGGAAACTTTTTCTTGTTGCATGTAGTACACGCACAAGACCGGCAGCAGCAGCAGCACCAGCAGACTGCTGGTGCTGCATATGGATACGAGCGACAACAGCACAGCAGCAGGAGAACATCTACTGCTGCTGCTGCTGTTGCTACTAGGTTCGGTGCAAAGCAGCATTTTTCTTTGTATATTTATACAGTTCGAGATACACCGAAGAAAACAGTTTCTTCTTCTCTTTTTGTTAAACGAAACAAAGTAAACACAAGGAAATAAATATAAACAAACACACAAACGAACACACAGAGCGAAGAGACACCATCGGTGCACAGGATCGTGATCGTCAGCCGCTTACGCAGCTGCTGCTGCTGCTGCTGCAGATATAAAAAATCAGTAAATAACAAATGAAAATTCATAATACTAATGATACATATAATCAAATTATAATTAATTACAGCTTGTTGAGCAGGGTTTATAGTGCCTTCTACGTTGAGGAGGAGAAGTCAAGGAGCAGCAGCAGCAACAACAGCAGCAGCAGCAGCAGCAGGACCAGCGGCAGCAGCAGCACCTCGGGCAGAAGGTGAACGACGCACGTAGAACATTTTTTTCCTTTTGTTTTTTATTTTCAGTGTTTGCTAACGCTTAAATGTTGCTGAAATTTAAGAAAATGCTGCTCTAGACTCCTCGCTCTGGAGGCTTACTATTGTTTTGTTTTCATTTGCTTGTTTTGAGGCCCTAGTAAGTATAGTATACTAATATTTATTCTTCTTCTTCTTGCTTACATGCTGCTGCTGCTGCTCCCTTCTTAGCGGTGTTTTATCTGCAGCAAAGGCTAGAAACCACCAGCAACAGTAGCAGCAACAGCACGATTGAAGTTTGAGGAAAGGCACGTAGTAACGTGCATGCATCAGCAGCAGCAATTCTAGTAATTACTCCATAGCAGGTATACAGCTGCTGGGAGAACCAGTAGCAGAAGAACCAGCAGTAGCTCCAGCAGCGGCAACAGCAGTTGTTGCTGCTGTTGCTGAAGCAGCAGCTACAGTTGCTGAAACAGAAGGTTAGTTCTTGGTGTTTTTATACTCTCCTTCCTCGTCTTCTTATCCTTCTTCTTCTTCTTCTTCTTCTTCTTCTTCTTCTTCTTTGCATGTATGATTGCTTGTTTATTTGTTTGGAGACAACAGCAGCATCTGTTACTGCTATTGATTGTTATTGTTGCTGCTGCTGCCGCTGCTCTATTATTCTGTTTCTTCTTTTTTGTCTTTCTTCTTCTTTCTATTCAGCTTCGAATGCGGGGAAAGACAACAGAAGCAAACACAAAAAAAGAGCAGCAGTACGACTTCTGCATCTCTAGCAGACTGAGTGCTGCTGCTGCTGCTGATGCTGATGCTGCAGCACCAGCAACAGCAGCAGCTGCTGCTGCACCAGCAACAGCAACAGCTGCTGCTGCAGCAGCAACAGCAACACCTGCTCCTGCTGATGCCCCCTGCATAGGCACCAGGGGGATTCGTCACCGCTGCCCTTTTCCTTTGCGGCTCTGCTTCCTTTTATTTGCTGCAGCGGCAGCAGCAGCAATGCCAGCCGCAACAGCAGCAGCAGCGACAGAAACAGCAGCAGCAGCAGCAGCAAGTCAGAGTACAGCAGCAGCAACTACTCGACCCATGCAGAGACAATTCCCTGTCTCTTTTGATTTGCAAGGGATTACTGTTCCTCCTCACTCTTCGCCTTCTGTTGCTTCTGCTGCTGCTGCAGCTGCCGCTGCTGCTGCTGATTCTCCTTCTTTTCCCTCTACTTCTTTTGGTTCTGCTGCACATTCTAGGAGAAGAAAGAGGAGGCAGAAGCAGCAGCATGCAGTTGTGCTTAGAGTTGGTGCTGCTGCACTGATTTGTTTTGCTGCCGTTGTCTATATCGTTTCCCGCTGCGCGATGCTGCTGCTGCAGCAGCAGCAGCGGCAGCAGCGAATAGCTATTTCTTTTGCTTCTTTTCCTAGGAGACTAGCAGAAAACGAAGAAGAAAATGCATGCAACGTAGGCGGAAGTCAAGCTGTGGGAGAAGCAGAAGCCCCATCACCGGCAGCAGCAGCAGCAGCAGCAGCCGCAGAAGAAGAAGAGGCAGCAGCAGCAGCAGCAGCAGCAGCTGCCGCAGAAGAAGCAGAGGCAGAAGCAGCAGCCGCAGCATCAGCAGAAGAAGAGGGAGCAGCAGCAGCTGCAACAGCAGAAGATTACGAAGACGAAGAAGACGATGAAGACGAGGAAGATGATGAAGATGAAGATGATGATGAAGATGATGAAGAAGAAGGAGAAGAAGGAAAAGAGGGAAAAGAACCATTGCCTGAAGAAAAACGAAAGAAAACACCACCAAAAAGAAGAGCAGATAACATTTCAATCGAAATAACGGATAAAAATGCAGTTGCTTCAGCACATGCAGCTTTAGATGCTCTTCTTGAATTAATGGAAACAGCAGCAGCCACGATTCCCCTATTAGATTCAGGAAACTGTTTAGTTGTTCTTGCTTTAGTATTATCTATGATATGTCAGGAGTTTTTCTTTCTTGGCGTATATAGACACCAAGATGTCGAAGAAAAAAGAAGAGCAACGCTCAGAAAGATTGTTACGATAGGGCGGGAAGCGTTTACAGATATAATAGTGACGAAAGGAAAAGATACTAAGCCAGGGAAGAGAGCAGGAGAGATGCTGACGGTGCTGCAGATGCTGGAGCAGCCTCCTGAGACTGTGGACATACCAAGAGATGCGCTAACGCGACGTCTTGTTGAAGACTCTGCTTTGATGCAAACGACCCTACGAGCAGCAACAAAGTCTTTAAGAGCTTTAGAAGGATGGAGTAGCCCTAATGTTGGTGTATATAAAGATGTCTGTACAGCTATAAGACATGCAGCATCACACTCGAGACATGCACGAAGAAAGCGGCTGCAAGCTGATCACCTTGTTTGGGAATGGTATCTTCTTATTGAAGACAGTGTAGGGTACTTAGGCTTATTCTATCATCAGGATTATACTGTTACTGTTCTTCCTGCAACTGAAAGAACAGGCTTAGAGTTAAAAAGGCTGAGGGACAGATATGCAAGACTCCATAAACGAATAGAAGCAGCAAAAAGAGGAAGCAGAACTGCAGCAGATAGGAGACAGGCGAGGAAGCAAGCCAGAGAAGAACGCCTCGCACATCGTCTGAAGTGCGAGCAGCAGCGTTTGATGCTGATGCCGAAGGGGGCAGATGGTCATCTAATGCAGCAGCAGCAGCAGCAGCAGCAGGGGCAGGGGCATGGAATGCCACAACAACAGCCTCATACTCCCCCCTCCTCTCTTGTGCAACAACCGAGTGATGACGCTGCTGCTGCTGCTGGACCCTTCCCGCCTCAGTCAAAATCGGCAGAGAGTTGGACAGAAAGAGCAGTGCACGCACCAGAGTTCATCCCCTCGACTTCATCAACGACGCCGGCGCCGAAGCCGCCTCAGCAGCCCCAGCAGCAGCAGCAGCAGTGGGGCTCGCAGCAGCATCATCATCATCACCACCATCATCATCATCATCAGCAGCAGCAGCCGCAGGGGCATGGAATAACCCGTCAGCCCCATGCTCGCCCCTCCTCTCCTGCGCATAAACCGGGTGATGACGCTGCTGCTGCAGCAGCAGCAGCTGCTGCTGCTGCTACTGCTGCTCCAGATAGTTGGAAAGAAAAAGCACTGCAGGCACCAGAGTTCATCCCCTCGACTATGTCAGCAGCGCCAGCTCCAGCTTCTTCTGCTGTTGCTGCTGCTGGAACCTTCCAGCCTCAATCAAAATCTTCAGATAACTGGAAAGAAAAAGCACTGCAGGCGCCAGAGTTCATCCCCTCGAGTGTTTCAACGCCGCCGCCGCCGCCGCCGCAGCAGCAGCAGCAGCAGCAGTTGCAGCAGCCGAAGCAGCAGCAGCAGCCGTGGCAGCAGCCGA